GGAGAGGAAAAGAGAGAGAGAAACATCAATGATGAGAGAGAATCATTGATCAGCTGTCTCCTGCATGGTCCCACACTGGGGATCAAGCCTGCAACGGGGCATGTGCCCTGACCGGTATCAAACCTAGGACTCTTCAGTCTGCAGGCCTATGCTCTGAGCCAAACCAGCTAGGGCCAGATAATTTCAAGAAGCTGTTTAGAAGAAGAAAACCTGGTTATAGTGAGATTAAAAGTAATTAACATAGACAACTTTTTGTTATTGTTAATCCTCACCCGAGGATCTTTTTCCCATTGATTTTTAGAGCAAGTGGAAGGGAGGGGAGACGGGGACAGAGAGAGAGAGAAACATCGATGGGAGAGAGACACATCCATTGGTTGCCTCCCACATGCAACCCGACCAGGGGCGGGGAGGGAAACTGCAACCCAGGTACGTGCCCTTGACCAGAAATAGAACCTGTGACCATCCGCTGTGCAGGCTGATGCTCTGACCACAGAGCCACGCCCTCTCTCCCTGTCCTTTCCTCTCGGAAATCAATAAAAATATAAATTAGAAAAACAAACAAACCACCAAGTTCCTCTGCCAAGAAAGCTTGTTGGTGAGTGACAAAGGCTGCAGGACCACGGCCACACAGGCACGTGGTGAGGACTGGAAAGTGTGTTGATTCTCACCTGCTCCCCCTGCAGAGCCGTGTCCAGCACAGAGCTGCCGGCGCTGGAGAGCATCTGTCAGACGATTATAAAGGAAAAGCAGCCTTTTGAAAGATTGGAAGTCAGCAAGGACGTCCTTCTGGAAATGTTTAAGGTAACTTCTTTAAAATATATGTGTGTGTGTGTATATATATATATATATACATATGCATATGCATACAAACATATATAAGTATATGCATTATCTGGATTCAATGGGTAAGTAAATTACTCAAATGTTGTAGGATTTGTTACTCAAGCAAGGTCCTTGGACAAGCAGCACAGGCATTACCCCAAAGCTTGTTAGAAATTAAGAGTCTCAGGCCTCACCCTAGGGCCTAAATCTACCAAGTCAAAGCATGTCTTTTAAGGAGATCCGCAGGTGATTCACATGCAAGCAAACTTCGAGAAGCATTGCTGTAACAGACTTTAACCAGCAAAGTGAGTTGAGTTTGAGCTAAGGGGGAAAAACTGTTTCAATTATCTATATAATTTTTAAGAAGTGATTATTTGGGGGAGGTGCAGGATGTTGAATTATCCAGATAAGCACCTTGGTTCTCAACATTTCTTCTGCCAGTGTAGGTACTATAATGACTGTTCCCAGGTACGGCCCTTGACCAGAAATAGAACCTGTGACCATCCGCTGTGCAGGCTGATGCTCTGACCACAGAGCCACGCCGACCGGGCTGTGAGCTCTTTATATCCCCAGGTTCTCAGCACCTAGAACACAGTAAACACACATTCAGTGTTCGTTGCAAAAAAGGAAATATTTTCCCATTTCAACATTTTACGTAATGACACATAAATTTGTTTTTCTTTACAGTACAATAAGTTTAAGTGCCGCATTTTGAACGAGAAGGTTAACACTCCAACCACCACGATTTACAGGTAATGTGCACGTAAATTTTAAACCTGCTCAGTGGTTCTCTTGAAGGATCAGCAGGGGAAGCAGTTTGCCTGGGGTGGTGTCTCCTTGTAAATGTGCACGTCGATGTGTCACTTTAGTTAGGGACTCGGAAATATTATCATAAAGGAAGTCATTGCTTTTCCTTTTTCTCTCAGGATGGCACTGGCCATGTCTGAAATATCTCGTTACAGGTGCGGCCCACTCATCGACCTTTGTAAAGGCCCCCACGTGAGACACACCGGAAAAATCAAAACCATAAAAATTTTCAAGGTAAGGGTTTATTGCTTTTAATAGAGAAGACTTAAGATAAACTAAATAATTAGGAATTTCAGTCATATGCTTCATAATCTGAACATCATGCTATTTTTAAAAACCCTTCATTATTTGATTTTTACATGGGCTTCTAAAAACAGTATCATTTTTTTTAGAATTCTGATTATTAGGACATTATGTGTAGCTTTTAATTTTCATTTAACCTTACTGTGTTGCAATGCATTTTTCTTGTTCGTATGATATTTTACCATTTGTACGCCATAAGCGTCTATAGACGCAAGCGGCGGACCTTTTTTAATTAAATTCAAAACATCGTGGCAGTTAACTGGTTATGATGTTGTGGTACATACTGGTTTTCTTTTTTTTTATATGTATTTATTT